CTCCCCCCACCGCCAATGCTCCTCATCCAGATAACCCCACCGCCAATGCTCCCCCCACCGCCAATGCTCCTCATCCAGATAACCCCACCGGCTCGCACAGTGGATCAACGAAACCCACCTAACCCTATGGTGTTAGTTCTACTGTGTAATTGTTAGTTCTAGCTGTGTAATTGTTAGTTCTAGCAGCTCCCGTATTAGTTCTAGCTATTCTCGTGTTAGTTCTACCTCTAGCTAGCGTTTATTTAGTATAAATGTTGGTTCCAATGCCTATGTTAGTTATAGCGGCTCCCGTGTTAGTTCTATATGTTCTCTTGTTAGTTCTACCTCCAGCTAACGCAAGTTCTACTGCAAATGTGGGTTCTTTTGCCTATGTTACTTATAGCTGAGATATTGTTTGTTCTACCTACTAGATGGGGTCAATCATCAAAACATTATCTCCGGAAGGATTGTTATTTGGGATCCTATCTGAAACACATATGGCCGTCGATAACGGTGGCCGTTGATAACGGCGGGCCACAATCTATATTGTCATTGGGAAACGCTGCAAATAAATAACATAAACAAAATAAATAATCATGAACTAAATTAATAGAAACATCAACAAATAACACAAATAAGAAAAAATCACTAACGACTTTTTTGTGTTAGAACTAGCATGAAATTCATCTGAACTAGCAAGAAATCAATTAGAACTAACATGAAATCGATTAGAAATAACATATTTGACCTAAAATGGAATTTGTCCTAGAACTAGCAGTAAATCGATTTCATGTTAGGGCATGTTCGGTTGTTTTCCGCAAAAAAAAAAAAAAGAAACCAGCAACGTACCACGAAAACAAATTCCCAGCATTTCAATGTGTTTTCTCAGATTTGAAGTATTATGTTCGTTTCAACATGGAAATCAAGGGATTGAAATCAAATTTCACATTTATTGTGTTCGTTTCAACTCTTTGCAATAAAGAAATGTATTGTCCTTTGTCACATTTCTTGCATTTCACCTGTTCGTATTGCACAACCTCAAATATAGGAAACCAGCTTAGCAAGTTCAAGCGGTGAGCTTACCTCCCCAAAAAACCAACTGAAACCAACAACGGTAAAAATTGTGCAACGGTCAAAAAACCACAACTCAAAACAGTGCACGCCAGGTTCTTTGCTAACAGCAAGATTTTGCCAACGGAAACAATTTACCCCACCCCTGCACTTATATAGTTGGGATCAACTCCATCCTCCTCAACATATTCTCTCATAAAATTGCAAGAAACTTGGGCAAAATTACTTGAGCATAGAGGCAATTAAAGCTGTGACATGGAAACAAACCAAGACTCTCATGAATTAGCTGCAGAGGTAACGTGCTACTGTAACATACCGACACCACTAAAGCTTTGCAAAACAGGAGTAAACAAGGGCAAATACTTTTGGGGCTGCGCCAACTATCCAAATAGGCAATGCCAGTATTTCAAGTGGGCAGAAGAGCATCATGATAACAACCAGCGTGAGGTAAATTTTGAATGTCCCTCTCCTCAATCAGTTTCCCAAGTTAAAGATGTGGAAACCAAGCACTTGCAAAGAGAATTAAAGCTTGCAAACCAACAAGTTGTTTACTTGAAGAAATGTATTGTTGTTTTAGGAATATTTAGTATTTCCCTTGTTGTCATAAACATTGTAATCTGCTATTTGAAAATGTAATGCAAAAGTGAGAACAAGAGGAATCACAGTCTGAGTTCAAATACAAAACTGAACAGATTGAGATGAAAATGATGCAGCAAATCCCACCATGCATATAGGTAACAAAAACTTCTGTGATTAAACCAGCAACACAAACTGCACTTTGCATATGCCAGAAACTCCCAAAGTGAGAACAAGAGGAATCACAAGCAATAGGTATCTGAAATCAAACATGATAGCAATGAAAGTATGACAAGCAAAGATATATATTTCAAAGTGTTAATAATCTAATTCAACAGCTTTATATTAAAAGCTTAAGAGTATTATATTCCAAAGATGAGAATGATAAATAAAGTTTGACAAATCGAGTTAGTTCTAGTTGTCCTACTGTTAGTTCTAGAACATCTCGAGTTAGTTCTACTTCAAGCTGGCGTTATTTCTAGCATAAGTGTTTGTTCTGTGGCCCATGTTAAATAGTATTGACTACAAATAGGTTAGAACTAACAAGATATCATTTGGACCTAACAAATTTGACCTCACATAGAGCTGTAATAGAATTCGCAATGGTTAGAACTGACATGAAATCGATTAGAGCTAACATGCGATCACGTGTTTGTTCTGGTGGGCCATATTATCCCTAGCAGAGTAAGTGTTAGTTCTAGCTGTCCACCTGTTAGTTCTATCCCCTATCGAGTTAGTTTTAGTTGTCCTACTGTTAGTTCTAGAACATCTCGAGTTAGTTCTATTCTAGCTGTCCACCTGTTAGTTCTATCCCCTATCGAATTAGTTCTAGTTGTCCTACTGTTAGTTCTGGAACATCTCGAGTTAGTTCTACTTCAAGCTGGCATTATTTCTAGCACAAGTGTTTGTTCTGTGGCCCATGTTAAATAGTATTGACTACAAATAGGTTAGAACTAACAAGATATCGTTTGGACCTAACAAATTTGACCTCGCATAGAGCTGTAATGGAATTCACAACGGTTAGAACTGACATGAAATCGATTAGAGCTAACATGCGATCTCGTGTTTGTTCTGGTGGGCCATGTTATCCCTAGCAGAGTAAGTGTTAGTTCTAGCTGTCCACCTGTTAGTTCTATCCCCTATCAAGTTAGTTCTAGTTGTCCTACTGTTAGTTCTAGAACATCTCGAGTTAGTTCTATTCTAGTTGTCCACCTGTTAGTTCTATCCCCTATCGAGTTAGTTCTAGTTGTCCTACTGTTAGTTCTAGAACATCTCGAGTTAGTTCTATTCTAGTTATCCACCTGTTAGTTCTATCCCCTATCGAGTTAGTTCTAGTTGTCCTACTGTTAGTTCTAGAACATCTCGAGTTAGTTCTATTCTTGTTGTCCACCTGTTAGTTCTATCCCCTATCGAGTTAGTTCTAGTTGTCCTACTGTTAGTTCTGGAACATCTCGCGTTAGTTCTACTTCAAGCTGGTGTTATTTCTAGCACAAGTGTTTGTTCTGTGGCCCATGTTAGGCCTATCTCAGTCATTGTTAGTTCTATATGTCTTCCTGTTAGTTCAAGCACATCTCGAGTTAGTTCTACTTCGTGCCACGTTATTTTTAGCACAAGTGTTTGTACTCGAGATGGCCATGTTATCCCTAGCTCACTCCTAGTTAGTTCTAGATGCCCTCCTGTTAGTTCAAGCCCATCTCCTGTTAGTTCTACTTCGTGCTGGCGTTATTTCTAGCCCAAGTGTTTGTTCTGTTATGTCATGATATCCCTAGCTCACTCCTTGTTAGTTCTAGCTGTCCTCTTGTTAGTTCTAGAACATACAGAGTTAGTTCTATTACGTTGCTTAAATATTGTACCCACTTAATCAAGCCTTGTACCTACTTGTAAAAACTTTTATACCCACTTAATCAAGTTTGGTACCCACTTAATCAAGTTTGGTACCCATTTATTCAAGTTTTGTACCCACTTAACCATGTTTTGTACCTCATTATACTGGAATCAAAATTTTGTACACACTTTTTCAAGTTTTGTACTCATTTATACACGTTTTGTACCTACTTAGGCGCCGTTTTGTACCCATTTATACACATTTTGTACCCAATTAATCAAGCCTTGTACCTACTTGTAAAAACTTTTGTACCCACTTAATCAAGTTTTGTACCCACTTAATCAAGTTTGGTACTCATTTATTCAAGTTTTGTACCCACTTAACCATGTTTTGTACCTCATTATTCTAGAATCAAAATTTTGTACACACTTATTCAAGTTTTGTACCCATTTATACACGTTTTGTACCTATTTAGGCACCGTTTTGTACCCATTTATACACGTTTTGTACCTACTTAGGTACCGTTTTGTACCCATTTATACACGTTCTAGTTTTCCTACTGTTAGTTCTGGAACATCTCGAGTTAGTTCTACTTCAAGCTGACGTTATTTCTAGCACAAGTGTTTGTTCTGTGGCCCATGTTAGACTTATCTCAGTCATTGTTAGTTCTATATGTCTTCCTGTTAGTTCAAGCCCATCTCGAGTTAGTTCTACTTCGTGCCCACGTTATTTTTAGCACAAGTGTTTGTACTCGAGATGGCCATGTTATCCCTAGCTCACTTCTAGTTAGTTCTAGCTGCCCTCCTGTTTGTTAGTTCAAGCACATCTCATGTTAGTTCTACTTCGTGCTGGCGTTATTTCTAGTCCAAGTGTTTGTTCTTTTATGTCATCATATCCCTAGCTCACTCCTTGTTAGTTCTAGCTGTCCTCTTGTTAGTTCTAGCACATATAGAGTTAGTTCTATTACGTTGCTTAAATATTGTACCCACTTAATCAAGCCTTGTACCTACTTATAAAAACTTTTATACACACTTAATCAAGTTTGGTACCCACTTAATCAAGTTTGGTACCCATTTATTCAAGTTTTGTACCCACTTAACCATGTTTTGTACCTCATTATTCTGCTGCAAATTTTGTACACACTTATTCAAGTTTTGTACCCATTTATACACGTTTTGTACCTACTTAGGCACCCTTTTATACCTCTTTGCTCTGGATTCAAATATTGTACCCACTTAATCAAGCTTTGTACCCACTTAATCAAGCTTTGTACCTAATAATGCCATGATTTTATTTTTGTACCCACTTATTCAAGTTTTGTACCCACTAATTGCTCGTTTTGTACCCACTTAATACTGTTTTGTTCCTCATTGTTCTGGGGGAAAAAATTAATTCAAATTATCAACCATACATGATTAATCCATACAACCACATTATCATCCATACATACATAAATCTTAAGGGAAAAGTGAATAAATAAAATTGTGAACATTCAACCGAAACACATGCTTTGTTTTGGCCCTCCGTAAAGTTTGTTTTGGCTATGCCGTTAACTTTCTCGACCTCCACCAGCAACATTTTTGTTCTACAAAAAAAAATTACAACTTTATCATGACAAATGCAAAGACATTGAAAAAATATTAAATCAAGATTAAGTATAATACCTTAGCTAAAGGACAACTCGTTATATAATGTCCTTTTCCCTTACAAAACCCACAAAATCTTTGTTTTTTTATACTCTTTTCTTGTGCTATCTCCACTCCCGACTTAATTCTAGTAGCATGTGCTGGTCGTCCCTTCGTGGCAACAGGCTTATCTGGATCACGGATAGTGATTTGAGTTGCTTCCTCTATAGAGATGGGTATGGATGAAGTAGGCATCTTATTGCTGGCATTGCTCTCATTTCCATTATCGTTATGTTCCTTCTCAATCTTGTAATTCTCAACTTCTTTAAAAAATGAGTCTAAAAAAGAACTAAACTTATCATGAAGTGTACTTGAAGTCAATGTATCTTCTAGTGCCTTGTTACATCTACTCCTAAGTGTAATTCTCAACTTCTTCAAAAAATGAGTCTAAAAAAGCACTAAACTTATCATGAAGTGTACTTGAAGTCAATGTATCTTCTAGTGCCTTGTTACATCTACTCCTAAGGGCCCAATGTTTAATGATAGATAGTTGGTCTTCACTATTTGTAATGCAATTTCTAACAACTCCGCAACCAACATGTCTTGCTTTAATTGTCCATCGTTGCACCATATATCTTGATGGAATTTCTAATACTTGCTTCTTTACTAAAATGTGCAAGCTATGTTTGCATAATATACCTTCCATCTCAAATCTCGCACAAGAGCACTTAATTCTTTTTTCTTTGGATGTATCGAAAACAACATGATGCTTTACTATCTTCTTGCTTTCAGCCTCGCTATCTATATTCCAAACGGCATAAGTAGCACTTGCGCCGTCCTTCGACAACTTTTCATGAAGCATGGAGTAACTATCCTTGAGTTCTTTCTGAAAGATAGTAAACAGATTCTTCGTATAATTCTCCCGAGCTTGTTTTTCAATGGGATGTTCAATTATCAATGTAGGAACTGAGTTTGTGGACTTAAAATCTTGCTCAAGTTCAGCGGCTCGGCGAGCTCTGACAGCATTATCATACTGCTTAACAAAATCATGTAACTCGGTATTTACATTCACAAAATGATCAAAATAAGCATTAATTCCCTCACTCCGCTGAGTAGATGTCATTCCTGCAGTAAAAGTGTCTTTAAGATACACTGGAGCCCAATGATCTCGATGATTGTATAAATTTACTAACCAACTCCTTTTATCTGCACCATATTTGTCCCTCATTTCTTCCCAACGCTTTTCAAATTTTTCTTCCGATTTACTCCAATACCATTTGTTATACTTTACACCAACATCCTCACCATAATCATTATGCATTGATTGAAGATTTTGTAAGGCATTCCTACGAAGGTGCCAAGAACAAAAGCGATGGCGAGTTTTAGGAAAAACTTTGTGAATAGCACCACACATAGCTTTATCTTGATCAGTGATGATTGTTACTGGTGCTATACCCGACATACATTTTAACCATTGGCTAAATAACCATATAAACGTCTCCTCCGTTTCATCGGCCAGTAACGCACACCCAAATAGAGTAGACTGTCGATGATGGTTAACGCCCGTAAATGGTGCAAACGGCAATTTTAAATTGTTCGTTCTATATGTAACATCAAAGCAAACAACATCTCCAAATTGCAAGTAAGAAGTCCTCGACCTACCATCCATCCAAAAAACACTTCTCATCGTCCCATCATTTTCTAAATCAAGTGCGAAGTAAAATTGAGGATCAGATACCTTTTTCTCTTGAAATTGACGAACTATGTTCACGCACTCATGGCCGACGTTGTTTCTTCGTTTAAGTCTAAGTTGTGCTTGGCATTCTTGTTGAGTGAGAGAGCCTTGTTCATTGCCATGAGCAACGTCTACAACCTTACAAATGGCAGAAGGCCGTAAACCTTGATTGTCAAGAGTATCTATCAACCTTTTTGTCGATTGAGCTCGATGAAGTGTCCGATGTGAGTAGTGCTTCTTTACCCGAGTTGGGGTGGTTAATGGATGACCATTATGCTTACTGTTTAACTTTCGGACCACCCATTTTTCAGTGCTTCTATCAAGTCCAATAACCATCCTTGCGTTGCATCCACATCTTGTATCGAACTTTCGAATTACATTCCGACCATCTTCTCTTTTATCTTTTAAAGATTTAAAGCCTTCTTTGTCACATACAAATATTCTAGATAGGATTGCATCTTTCTTTCTCGACCAAGCTGTGTGACCCTTGCGAACACCAAATCCCTTAAGTCTGGCGTATGCATTGTAGAAATTATAAGCTTCCTCATGAGTAGAGAACTCCATTCCGATATATGGATCAACGCTGTTTAAATTATCTTCACCATTTTCAACGCCCATAAGCTCATCACCATTCTCCTCATGCTCGGATGCCTATAAAAATAGAGAAACAAAACTCATGCTAAAAGACAACTATTTTGGTATATGTCATTAGTTAGTAGTACACTATAAACAATAAGATATTATCACCTGAGGGGGAAGCCATGTTGTAGATAGTAGATCATGGTCCTGGCTTTTATCTTCTTCCATTGTTGCCTCACGTGAGAGAATTGGTGGAGTGTCTATACAAGCTATCAAATTATCACATATAAGAAGTTCAAAATCGCTCAAAAAACATCATCAAGTTGATCTTTCAATTTCACTAAACAATTTCATTACGATAGTTTAAACCAAATTTAAAGTTTATATCCAATTTAACAATACATGGCAAAAATAGCTCTAAATTATCCGACTCGTAGCCATAGAGTGAATGCTGCAAACCAAGTAATGTATGAGCTGAAATTAAAAGGAAGAAGATAGATCCAAGGAATATGCATGAGGGAAGATAGAACCATCATGAAATCCACTAGATCTAACAGGAACGTCAACTAGAACTAACATGCATCGTAATAGAACTAACATCATCTCCATTAGAGCTAACATGCATCCTGGTAGCATTAACATGCATTTCAGTTAAAACTAACACGTTAATTTAGAGCTAGCTAACATGCATTTCAGTTAGAACTAACACGTTAATTTAGACCTGATGCCTTACCTCGGTGGAGGCGAGCTCGACAGCGGCGAAGTGCGATGAGCCGGCGGCAACACTGAGCGGGGACGGCAAGCGCAGGCTGCGGCGATTTCGTGAGGTGGAGAGGAGGGGGGAGGTGATGGCGAGGATGACGTCGAGGGCTTGATCGATCTCCGGAGGCGGCGATGAACCTGAGGGCTGAGCTCGAATGCCGTCGGAGGCGTGGCTGATGACGAGGGGTGAGCTCGATGGCGAGGACGAGTAGACGGCGATGACCCGGCGGCGACGCTCAGCTGCGGTGATCTCGGGCGCTGGAGAGGAGGAGGGGAGGTGATGGCTAGGGCAAGGGGACGGCGGCGACGCTGATCGGGGACGTCGAGACACAGGCCGAGCTTGGGCGCCGGCGCTTTCGGGCGGTGGTGAGGGGGAGGAGGTCGGTGATGGCGACCGAATGCGCGATCTTGAGCCGGCGGCGACGCTGATCGGGGGCGGCGAGCTCCGGCGGCGATTTCGGGCGCTGGAGAGGAGGAGGCGGGAGGTGATGGCGCGATCTGAGCGGGAGAGATGAGAGAAGGGTAGGGATTTTGGGGGGATGAGATTTTCAACGAAGGGCTCAGATCTCTCTGAGGGGTTTTGAATAAACGGCCCAGATCGCGCATCCTCAGAGCAAGCCTACGGAGTCACCGCAGATTCACTTGACCGGCTCAGATCTCTCTGAGGGGTTTTGAATAAACGGCCCAGATCGCGCATCCTCAGAGCAAGCCTACGGAGTCACCGCAGATTCACTTGACCCATATATA